CATTAAAAAATGATGATGCAAACTGAAATGAAATAAAAAAAAATAAATTGATGAAGTTACCAGGGAACACGTGAACGACGACACTATCTCTGAATGAAACATTCCTACTCTGAAACCAGACCTGCACAGTGAAGTTGTAACAGCCAACAACAACCTTGGACATTTGAAGGACACTCGACTGATCTGATTCATTCAATATTTCCTGATATTTTAAAAAATATTTTTGTTTGATTACAATAACTAATAAATAAATATAGATAATTCATTTTTTTAAATATTACCACCCGCCATACATTCCTGTCGTTAAGCAGCTGTTATATTGCAAATTGCAAGTGCTCTAAACATCTAAACAAATTTTCATAACTTTACAAAAACTTTTAAGATTTTTCACAAATAAATAAAATCAACGCCGTGAGTCTAACACACAAGTTCATTCTCAGCCTGGTCTCTCTTATTATATACCATAGAGACAACCATTTAACGTATTAATATGCTTATCACTTTAAGGCATTGACTGTTGCCAATCTAAACCGTCTCTAAATTAAATGTGAGTCACAGTTAGAAGACTCCTTATAGTTATAGTTATATAAAAAGTTTACCCTTGCCAACAGTCGTCAGCCACATTAGACTGGCGGGCTTGTATGACGATAAAATACTTAGTCCTTTACAGGCTTTAAACATTAGTACATTAAACTTTTGCATCTTTCAATGTAAATCGTTTGAGCGAATGGACAAGCAACAGAGCAGCAATGATGGAAAATAAATTGCAGCTCATTTCTTACTTGGCCATCTAACTCTGATAAATCATTTTAGATTTTTCAGCTAGGTTCAAAAAATTTTCTGATGAGGAGACACCAATCAAAAAATAAATAAATAAAACATAAACAAGACAGACTAAAACATATTAACACCATCACACTATTTTTCAGTTATAGAAAGAGGATCTATAATTATAATGTTGTAATGAAGATACAACGCTGATTAACTTTAATTATTAAATAAACAGTCAGAGACAACATCAGAGCACTAGATAATAATTATATCTTCAATTAAGAGATACCCAGCAATTATGGACTCTGTATTGTCAATTAGCAACCAATTTGCATCTAACCCCAGGCTAGTTAGTAGCTGTCTAACTAATTTACTGCACTTTTTAAAATATTTTGTGGCATGTGTTTTCCACATAAATTAAAATTGGCATATAAGTGTTGGGGTATCTTAATCTTTATTGCAGAGAGTGTATTTTAAAACATATAATATTAATTTTTTAAACGAAAATAGTTTCGAAACTTAGTATACAGCCAAATAACATTTGTAAAGACAACATTAATCAAACATTTTTAACAAGGCAGACGAACCAGAACAGTCTCAAAAAAGCATGACGCCTCATAGAAATTCCATCCATAAACTCAAACAAGTCATATTACATACCAAATTCAAATTCATCACTAACCAACACATAACAGCTATAAAATAGCAGTTTTAAAGTCATTAACAAACACAACAATTGAAATTATAAACACATCATCATCATCATCAGCATCAGCAGCAGCAGCAGTAGCAGCAGTACAAGTACTGACCCCTTCAGAGGGACTACTGGACTCAACTGTCCACAAATAACGGACATCTTCTTTTCCAATTGAATCAACTTTCGTTTTGTTGATCACTAAAACCGACAGAGGCAAGTGAAGAGTGTGATTGCCTGTTGTTATGCAAAAAATGATTGATTGAATGTGTATGATGATCGTGTGTTATTATGTCGAGATAAAAAAATTCAATGCTTGTCTGTAACTTTTTCACCTGCTGCTCAATACCATAATTCTCATTGTTGTTATTTCGAGAGTACAAGCTAACAAAGTCTAAATAAACACTTAAATTTTTTTATGTGGTGAAATATTTAAAACTTAATCAACAATTCACGTGAAGCCAAAATTCACTCCAAGATTCGCTAAAAGTAGAGATAACTGAGAGACAAAACTCCAAATCTGCACAGAATCACTGGTGTACATCATCCAACCATGAATGAATAAAACTGAGCAACAAACTTTTTGTTACTTCTGAAGGAATTTGAATAACAGTTGAAAAGATAATTGTTGACGTTGCTGTTGATAATGTTTTTGACGTTGTTGATGTTGTTGTTGATGTCGTTGTTGTAGAGGTTGCTGAGACTGTTGCTGATACCACTGATGAATGTGACGAAAGTGGTGAATGCAAGTCTGTAACAACTTCAGGATGGGAAAGATGTGATGTCAACTTCAGGATGGGAAAGATGTGATGTGATGCTGTTGTTGTTGTCGCCGTGTCAGCTGTTGAACTTGCAAAAATGTGCTGTCTTGTCTTTTCTTCATGAAAAATGATGGTAGAAACAAACTATTTTAGTTTTTAAATCAAATAGATATTTTAAAAAAAGACATCAAAAACATCATCATAATTAAATCATTTGAATGAATCGATGAATCGACTAAGCAGAAAAAATGATTCCAAACAAGATAGGTTAATAATAAAACTGTTTAGAATTCTGAGACAGAGGAGCAAACGTGCAACAAACCCTTGGCACACATCCCTGAGCTGATGTTCCTGATGTATCCCAATGTACAAACGCAGACACCTGCACGAGTTCTTCCATTCTTTGGAATGCATCTCTCAAATGCAGAACTGCATGTGTCTGGTAAGCCAAGTTCACAACTTTTGTTAACTGCTTTTGTTGTTGATGTTGTCGTCGTTGAAATTGGTTGTTCTTGACTCGTTTTGAATCGTTGATTTTATTAGTAAACATCAAAAACATTTTACAATTAATTTGTGAAAAACAACATAAACTTTTTAGTCAAAAAGTTTTGAAACCTGGTTTTCTAACGGTGATCCAATAAGTCAGACCCACATTATCATTGTCTCCATCATCATCAATTGAACTTTTCTTGATAGGTTTGCAAGCATCCTGATCATTAACATCAGGACAGCTGATGAACAAGCAGGTTTTAGAAACATAGAATGCAACATGGCATGACTGCCGGATGCAACAATCTCTGACACAGGTTGTGAACTTTTCAACTTTAATTTTCGAATCGATGATGTACTTAAATTCAACACTTGAAGGAAGAACATTGTGGACAATGTTGCTTCCCAGCCATTCGTTTCTCATATGCTGAACATTCTTATCATGCTCTTCATCAACTCCATTGCACCAATCAATCATTTCAGCTGCATTAAAAATACATATATATAACATTGTGTATTAATTGTCATGAGTTATACCTTCAATATAAATATTGCAAATCATACTTTCAGTGTAACAGTGATTGAGATTCAAGATCTGTAAAAGCAGGATAACAATGAGATTCATGGTGGCAAACTTATTCATTTTTTGATTCTTTCACAACTGAAATAAAAAATAAGCACATCAAGTAAAATAGTATGACAACAGACAGTTGATTAGTGATTTATATACATTTATACAAATTTAAATAAAATCATTTTTATAAACAAATGTTTTTAAATAATTTTTACCAGCAATGGTTTTTAAAAAAGTTAACTTAAATCTTCTTCTGCATCATTTCCTTAGTTAGCACCATAGTTTTTACTTTTTAGTCATGTCATCAAAAAGAATTACAAAATTATAATATATTTATTATTTATGAGAGATAAAACTGATCATGGTAGTTATTTAAAAACAAAGTTTTAAATATTTGAAATTCTTTTATTAAATTTGACCTCTATAAATTTAACTTTTATTTAATTTTAATTAAACTAAAGTTTTAACAATACTGTTATAATATAACATAACTGAACATAACTGATAACATAACTATCGCATGGTCATACAATAAAAAAAATACATAAATAACTTATAACTTTTTAGATTTTAGTGAATTTACTTAATTAATTCAATTTTAAATTAAAAAGTAAACAAAGTACTAGCATCACTCATCAGAGCATCAACCAAATGTGAAATCTGAAATGTGGTCAGTCAGACAGTCAGACAGTCCCGTGTGGTCACTGCTTCACTACTGCTCAGTTAGATCAGATCTTGTTCAGTTCTTCTCTACGGCTGCTACCAGATTTAATTAAATTAAACTGAAACTTAAGATTTATCAATTTTTTTGATTGACATGAGTAAAAAATTAAATTTGATTTAAATTAAACGTTAAAAGGCAAAGATCAACGGCATAATATAACATAAATGATGTCTGTTTACATTACAACACACTCATACCTTTCTTTAACATATACACTTATGTATGTATATAAATAATATATATATATTCAATAAATTATACATATATTGTATAATGTTTATGAATTTTCATTATATATAAAAGCTATTTATCATATATAAAATGCATATAAAAAGTGAGCCATACATTTGATATGTATCAATGTATATGTATATTATTTATCTATAAAAACCTATGTTGTAATACCTGTAAGTTTCATAAACATCAAAGACATTATAACGCTGTTGGAACGGTAAGCCATTGCATTATAAACTTTACTTATTTGAGAGTTAGGGTTAGTTAGGTGTAGGACCAAAACCAATCCTTACCTGTATTAGTGAGTTGAAATCATAGATATTTATCCATGGTTAATATCATAGGATAAACATACCTGAATATTCATCTATGATTTTCACAAATGGGTATGAATATAATATGTATAAATTTATTCTAAATTTACAAGGTGTACTGGATATAAATTTATGTATGGTGTTAATTTAGATGTATATGCCTATATGGCTTTTACAATATACTTGGAATACATGGTAGTATTAGAATATAATGTTATTATAAAGGATGTAACCAAAAAAAGTTTGCTTACTTAGAAACTTAAGTTCGTTTTTAAACGTAGAAATTATGGATCAAGTGGACAGAATAATTCTTCAAACCTTAAAATTGGTTGGCTGGTATGTTATTCAAATTTATTTCATTTCTAAAATCTATTTATGTCTAAGTTGTTTTATGTTTCTTGAATTTTTGTTGGCACATTTGAACTGCGAATGTCACAAAATGAAATGGGAGTGCCAAGAAAAAAAGGGGAGTGAACAGTGGACTGGAAGGACTATTATCATCCAGGGATCACAGATGGATCGGGCCATCCTTCGCCCACCGTGTCACACCCACACACCGCATCATACATTACACACCATCAGTTATCTTTGTTCTTAAGAGAGATTGTCATAAAATAAATAAATAATAGATACCGATAGGATGGAGAGTAATTTATTTTCTATTTTATTTATTTTCTATTTTATTTGTATTATTATCAATTAATTATTTAATTAATTACTTTATAGTTTATCTAAAAAATACAACTACAAAAGACATATATTTTTTATTTGCATGTTTTATTCTGCAAGAATGTTTACCAATACAAATTTTTCCTGTCAACTTACTTACAGTGTTTACATTTTAATTACTTAATTTAAAATCAAATAGACATTTTTGTACTGATTTTCAAACTAAAATAACACAATACCAGCGATTTAGATGGCATCAGTGGTGTTGGTCAGCTATCCGCTGAGAACGTGGTCGATGCTGTGGGTCGGTGCATCCGACTGATTGACCCATCCGTGGATGTCAAATGCAAACTACCGTCAAATATGGCCGCCAAGTACAGAGTGGGCACCCAGCTAGCTGATGCTGTTAAGGTTTGTATTTTGCTTTGTCTGTTATTTTTAAATATTTCATTAACTTTTTTTGCATTTGTCTTCTTTTTAATTGAATGGGCATTAGAAACAAAATCTAATATCGAAATGATATACTGTACTGTACTCCTAATTTTAATATTATTTTTAGTATTACAGTAGATCATTTTGTAATTAGATTCTGAAAAAAAAACATAAGATTTTTAAATGTTAACTTCTTTTATTGGGTTTTTTTATTTAAATGTACTATAATTTTTTATAACTGGTTGTAGGGTTTGAACTATCAAGGAGAAGTGGGCTATCATACATTTTTGTACGTGAATGAGGTTGAGATGAGAAAGATCTTCTCCTTCCTGATTAGTCGTCTGCCGAAAGACAGGTCCATTATAGAGCAAGAGTGTCTAAGTATGTTTCACTTCATAAAGCTCTATGCTCTCTTTTCCTTTTTTCTTATTTTGTTTACATCATTAAAGCTTTATTATTTCAGTTTATAAACTAAAAATAACTATTGATAAAATTCTGTAAAACTTTGACTTAAACATTTTTTATATGTTCAATTTTAAATTTTTAAACATGAGGCAGTTTTTATTATCAGCTCCACAAGTTTTGCTGAGAAGATCAATCAACCAGACCATCAACCATCTCCTTAAGCAAGCGTGGCTGCCACCTTACTGCTGCATAAAAGTGCATGACAAGTTTTATTTAAATTAAAAATTCATAAACTGTTTTATTTATGACACATTTTTTCAATAAATTTTAAACCGTTTTTACTAAATCTCATATATATTCTTCATTTTGTTGATTGTGTTTAAATTTTGATTTAAACTTTCAAGTAATAATTCACCTAATGTAATGGTTAAATATTTTTAAAATTGCAAACAGGAAGAAAAAGTTAAACGACCATTCAATGCACATGTCATGCTCGTGCCAAATCAGTTTGACAGGCAAAACAACATTCCACAAGGTTAACTTCACTTTTTCATTCGTTCACTTATTACTTATTTGTTCTTTCATTTATTTGTTTGTTCCTTCATTTGATCCATTCATTCTTTCATCTTCATTCTTCTCTTCATTAACTGTTGAAATTTCGTTCACCATTTGTGTTTACTTTTTGGTTAATATGTGTTAATTACTTCAATTTGTCTACTATCTATTTTTGCAAGCAACATGGTAAATTACAAACACTTAATACTCACACATGTTATTGTAATCCGCCATTCAGAATTGCAAAAGTACTACTCCCACCACCTTCCTCTGTCGACTCAACAGTTTGCAAACAAATCAACAACATCAACAAACAACAGCAACAACAAAACAAGCATTCTTTTCTGCTCCATCCTACAATACAACTCCTTGAAAGTGGCCCAGGAAAGGCGAGAGAGATACAACAACAACATCATCAGCTCTAGTAGTGGTAGTGATAACTTGAAGGATTCTATTCTGTCGGTTTGTAATGGGATGTTTACGCAATAAATTTTCTACATTTACAAAATTGTTGTGGTTGTTAGTTTTTTATAATTCATATCTACAAGTTTATGTTTTTCATTTGAAAATAACGGTTTTATTACAATTTTTTGATGTACAGAAAAAGTCAAAAGAAAACATTCTTTCCAAAATATCAAGCCAAATAAAAGAATCATTGAAACATACGAACATAGCTTCATCATCAGCTCAGTTGACATCATCTTCATTGCTGTCATCGTCATCGTCTTCATCATCCTCTAAGTTCAGGGCCAAACAAAAAATGTTGGCTACATCACCATCCTCATCATCATCCTCTTCTTCACAGTCGCATGTTCTTTCCAATGTCGAAGCAGACAAACAGCTCACTGATACTAAGCCAATATTGGTCTGGTGTTTTGCTTTTTTTTTGTAACAATTTGTTCTCCATCATTCCTAACAATATTATATTGGGCTATGACAGTTTTAGTCAGTTTCATCATCATCGCCTTCGTCGTCGTCGTCATCATCATCATCATCATCACTATCATCATCATCACCATTATTGTCTTCATTACCACCCTCATCACCACCGTCATCATCGTCATCATCGTCACAAACATCATCATTTTCGTCGTCATCCTAACACCACCATCATATTCATCACAGGAGGTTGCTGTACCTGTGGGAAAGGATGAGGATGAAGAGTTGAGAGATTTGGAAGATAAACTGAAGAAGTTCGTCGGGGAGTTGAATGAGAAGGGAGAGATGATGGAGTCGTTGAAAGAGCATCTCCATCAGGTTGCACGCATGGATGGATTAATAAATTAATAAATCGTTGGTTGGTTGGTTGAATGAAGGGATGGATGGTGTGATGGATGGATGGTTTTCTGGCTGGCTGGTTGGTTGGTTGATTGGCTGGCTGGTTAGTTAAATAGATAAATGTATGAATGGTTGGTGTGGATTGATTGATTGATGGACAAATAGGCAGAAAATCGGTTTATTGGATGGATGGATGGATAGATGGATGGATGGATGGATGGATGGATGGATAGATGGATGGACGGATGGATGAATGAATGGATGGATGGATGAATGAATGGATAAGCATACAACCACAAACAGATAACTATAAAAATGTTTTCTTTTTTTATGACGGATAAAATAATTACATTTCAACATAATTATTGAAGATGAAAGGTCAAATAAGTGATTTGACAAATGAGAACAAGCGAAGGAAGGCTGAGGCGAAAATGAAGAAGAAGATGATTGGTCTGTTGCCCGAAGCACAAGAAAGCATCGTCCAATTAGAAGTGGGTTTTTTTACCCAACTGTTTTTTATTGGCTGTCTGTATTTCAAATCATTATGACTGCTTATCATTTAGAACGTGGTTAGTGAAGCTGAACAACGATTGGCTGCTATGATGAACCAATGGGAAGATAGGAAGAAACAGCTGGAGGAGGAGTTGATTGGATTGCAAATCCGATCGGATAACAATGAGGTTAAGTTTAGAAATTTGTTTTAACACTTTAGACAATTTTTTACTTTTTCATTTGTCGCTTTGTTACCTTTAAACGAGCAAAACCAACCATCCAATCAACCAACTAATCAACTAACCAATCAAACAAACTTCAGACTCGAAGGGACCATCTGCTAGACGAGTTGAATGAGGTGAGGTGCAATTTGAAGTTGGCATCCGGCCAAGCCCAAGAGAAGAATCTGCTACACAAACAACTTGTTCGTTTCGTTCATTCATCTTTACCATTATTTCATTTTATGTTGTTATCACTTTGTGGTGTTGTATTGTGTTGTTTATAGTTTAGATAGTTGTGTCCTATCTTGATGCTTGTTTGAAGTGTTAAAAAATACGATTCTTATCTGATCTGTGCAACTTTGAGAACGTGCAAAAATGTTGTTTCACTGTTACATCTTCAGCGAGTTATTGCATAAAAATATATTCACTTAATCTGCCCAATTAATTCAGTTAACGAAGTTGTTCAAATTAAATTGTTCAAACTGATTTTCCAATTTTCTATTTAGAACTTATAGTTTCTAGAAGAAATCTTTGTCCTTTTTTTACTGATTTTGTCAATCGAACTTACCTGTGAATCTAAAGACTTTTACTTATTTTTTGCTGTTGTACTTCCCGCGTACTTATCAGATCTTTTCAATCTATTTTCAAAAATTTCGTAAACAAGTTAATTATTCCACTGTTGAATATTGTAGTTAATATTTCGTAATAATAATAATTATAATATTAATAATGACTTTGCAAGATTTTATGGCATCAGCTATCAAATGTGCTACAGCTTAAGTAAGTACCTACGTAGGAAGCATGTACTGAACTTACTGACCATGTCCAAACAGCTGATTGAGCTCGAGAAGATGACCACGCACGGACCCAGCCGATCGACGTACACGACTCGCATCCTGGAGATTGTGGCCAACATCATGAAACAGAATCAGGAGATAGAGAAGGTTGCTTGGAATGATGGAGTGATTGCTATTTGCCCTGATGCGTGCTGGATAAGGGCTGCATGAATTTTAATGGCACCTTTGTCGTTTAATAACGTTTCAAATAATCTCATTCTTATTCTACTGTTACAAATTCTTATTGAATATTACAATTTAAAGTGTTCTCCAAGAAGAAGTAAATACTTCAAATTATTTGTGAGTTCTAAAGAATGGTAAAAACGACGATTACAAAAAAATGGTTTAAAATCAAATTATGAATAATGTACAACTGATTAATTGATCGGCTGATTGATTGATTGTTGTTTGATTAGATGATCTGTTGTTTGGTTGATTGATTAGTTAGTTGATTGGTTGATTGTTGCCGTAAACAGATTCTTGTTGACACGAGGTCAGTTCAGAAAGAGATCAACCAGGTATCCGGTGTTCTTGAGAGGACGTTTATTGTGACTGACGAACTCCTCTTCAAGGTTCGTACTGACGGTATTCATTATTTCATGTCTTACTTTGATTTCTGTTTTGTTTTAACGTTAATCAAAAGTTATTAGAAACTATATTACCTCTATGCAACGCATTTAAAAAAAATTTTTTTAGAAACTTTACTGTAGAAATGTTCTTGTTCTAAATTTTCTTAATTTACATATATAAATTGATTTAATGATTAAATTCAAATATAGAATTACGTAATATATATGTGTATGTACATTGATAAATGTGCGCAAACCACACTATATCAGAATGCCAAGTCAGATGAAACATCACGAAGGGCATACAAGCTGTTGGCAAGTCTGCATGAGGTAAGTTATGACGTCTGTCTGTCTGTCTTTTTGTTTGTCTGTCCGATTGTCTGTTTATATGTTTGTTTTGACTGTCTGGTCTTAATTTTCATTTAAACTTAATCGTTTAGCATTATGAATATTTATACGTTTAGTCGTTAGCTATGTATACAATCATACACATTTTATGCATTTTTCTCTCAGAACTGCAGTTCTTTAGTGAAATCAGTCGAAGAGATTGGTGAGATAACGAAAGAGACGAGAGATATTGAGGAACAAGTAAGGGTCTTTTTATTATTTTTAAGTTCTAAGCAATATTTTCCTACGGAAATTGCGTGCATATTTTCTAAAATATAATTTAAATTATTAAAATTTTCTCCCCATAAAATTTTTAAAGCGTTCTTATCTGGTAGATTTTATTGAATCTTTGTTTGTTTTGTTCGGTATGAATCGGACAAATAGTCTTTAAAAATTTAAAACATTGAAATGTCAGCTGGAGATTGAAAGAGACAACCAGACCGAAGAGAGTCTTGAGAGAATCAGCAATGACTTCAAACTCATCAAACTAGAGAACCAACAACTAATTCAGCAGCTGAAATCCAAGATGACGACCTAAGTAAATTTCAATGTTCCTTCCTTCTTGCCGGCGTTCTATTTATGCATGTTTCCATTAGATGCTAATACAGCTCCACCCGTCCATATTTATTTCACATATACACCCATTAGCATTTACGTTGATGATTTTTTGTTAAATGTTGTTAGGTGCCAATGTTTAAATCCATGAATGATCATGAATTGTAATTTTCTGTTCAGATAAATGTGCTTGTTGTTTCCATTTCGACCAGTTTTGTATTTTTATATTCATTGACTTTGATAAGTGCAATTCCTTAATTTGTGTTCAACAAGTTGATACGAAAAGTAAGAAACTGTTATAAATTAAATAAATTGTTTTAAATCGAAGACGATGTGACGATTTGTGAATGGAGGTTTGTTGAGTTAATTAAATGAAATTTAAAAACATGACGACTCTAAAAAATAGTATGTTCAGTTGGACACTCACTCAACCGAAAGCAACTTTACAACATCAGTATTAAAACTTACCTTTGAATATTATTATATGAAAAGTTTTCATTATTTCTTATCAAAATTTTTCCACTTAAGAGGTACGATCTACCAGCTTTTTATCGATATTTGTTTAATTATTTTTTTTCATAACCTTTGTGCGAAGAAATAGCTTTGTTAACATATAACTGAAGTTTCCGAACATTGCTTTGAATCAAATTCAAAGATGATTTTTCACGATATAATGTATCAGTTTTATCATATGAATGAGGAAAGTAAATTCGAACTAATTGGCATCTACTCCACGTGTTTTTATTTAAAAATTGGCCGAATTGTTTTTCCTAAATTAAGAATTCGTAAATCGCATCGGTCTGCAGATATAGAATGAATGAAATATACTAAGTTCGATGTTAACTGTTTTTATAATTTATAAACGACGACTTTAATTTTAAAGGAAAAAAAATGAAAGACCCGTGTGATAATGCGTTAAATGTTGAGTCAACGATGAAGATGGAAGATATGGATGAAAATAATTGAAAATTTGGAACGCGCTATTGTGATTGCTAAACGGTTGAAAGCAAAACAACGATAATATGAACATTGAGATAAAATAAAGTTGGGAATAAATATTTTCTACAAAAATATGCGTGCATTGTACTTTATTGTTGCGCAAAAATTTCATCAAACATCTAAAATAAAAAGATTTTCAACTCAACTGTACTAAATTGAATTGAATATTACACTTGAAAATATAATAGTTATTATAGAATACCTTCCTTATTCAACATTTTGACTGTCTTGGTCATTGTTAAGGAACGCACGACGAGATGGTAAAAAAAACTCAAATAACACTCAAAAACTCACATAAAACCAGCCATCAAGAGTTTTTTTAAAAAATTTCAATCGAATCTCGCTTCTTCTGAAGCACCAATTCATCAAATGCAGTCCAATCCTTACTTTAAATTGATGGCGTGGAATAAAATATAATATGAAGAAACTGAATCCTACAAACTACCGTAGCCTTAAAGCCAATGTACAAAAATATTCATTTAATCTCTATCATTTTGATTGGAAAAATAATTAGACAATTATCCAAACATGTGATTTCATTACAATTATGAATCCTAATTAAATCATTGGTCCGTGCTGATGTGACATCAGCTGGTTTGTGCCTTCAGTTATTGTCTGATGACGCCAAATCTCACTAATTTCTGCTTCTTCTAAGAAATATTCAATTTTGAAAATAATGTCGGGCAATGTTTATGTTTGCGCGTGCGTGCATGTAAGCGCAATAACGCATAAATTTAAGAATTGAAAAATTGTTATAGGCGATGGCGATGCTTCATAATAAATAATATTGAATTAGTTGATGAGTGGTCTGATATTTATTTAAGTTCGTGATTCGTGAAGAGTGGCCATATGAATAAAAATATAACAGAGTGGTACTCGAAACTGAACGTGCCAAATAGCTCAGTGAACTATACAAAACTCCCAAGTTTGATCGACAAAAAAATATTTTTGTCCCGTGACGTTTCATAACGTGGAATGAAGATTTGTTTGTTCGATTCTTTTCTCAGCCTGCTTCTCAATCGTTCCTTCGTTCTTCAAGTTAACTTCGAGTTAAATGTTAATAATTTAGTGAAATGTTTTGAATTTATATCACTATGGAAAATAGATTGAGAAAAATTTAAAAAAAAAATGTTTCCAAAGTACCACCGTGGTAGGAGAAGAGGTTCTGATGCATAGAGCACGATGACGTCTGAAATTTAACAGTTAATTAACAAATTATTCAATAATAAGAGCTATTAATAATAATAAAAATTTAAATTGTGAGTTTGAAAGTGAATGATGTACATAATGAACTGACGGGATTGTTGAAGTTGATGTTGGTTCTCAGTGGTCTCCTGTTCAACGGCTGACTCCCCCGATTGTTGTCCACCAGGGGGCCCTTGGGGTTCTCTTCAGACCCAGACCTCAAACTCCTCAACTTTTGTAACTTTTTATAAATGACATTTTGCTTCATTAACAATTTTGATAAAAAAATAGATTGTTGTAATGTTCCTTTAAATAAATGCAATAATTCATGACGACCAAAACACAACATTTAAAATGTTTTTTCTATCATACTAAACCGTTAATGTTAATTAAAGAAGAAATAATTTGTTTGATGATAAGAAAAGACAAGCCCAGCAAAAATGAAAGAACACATTCCGACAGCGATAACGCCAGACAGAATGCTGATAGAGATAGCACGGAAGAACCGAAGCGAAAAGCATTTCAGTGAAAAGATTATTAATTGAAGTGGAGGTAAGTTGCTTTAAAAAATAGGACAGTAGTTTCCTTCTACTCCATTCATCATCTGGATAAGTTCTTCCGCAAACGTTAGACGAGCAGCAAGATGGATGAATGGAAGTAATTATTGATTGCACGAGCGTTAATATATTGTCAGTGGTTCTCTGTTGTTGCTGTACGTTTGAAATTCATATGGCTCTATTGCAGGTTGTTTTTAATGAAAAATTTCTGTACAAAAATGTGGGCTGAGTAAGAAAAAAAACAGTCGTCAACCGTTTAAAACTCTACAGTTCATCTATAAAATTGTAACATTTTCGGCAAAAAAATGGTTTTCCACGATTATTTATCAAACAGTTGAACAATTTAATCAAAAATATTATTGAATCAAAATTTTAGTCAGTCAAATAACTAAAGACAAACAACCACACAAATCAGCATGCCGTCCAATCAAGAGGCCGACCGACCGACCGACCGACCGACCAACCAACCAACCAACCAACCAACCAACCAACCAACCAGCCAACCAACCAACCAACCGACCGACCAATCAACCAACCAACCAACTAGCCAACCTGGTTTTCAGACATGTAAATAGGTCTGTTCATAATGACCCAGGTAACGGTTTCGAAACATGGTGGGTGCGTTAAGGAACCTTCGTATGTGATGTAGTTGGATTCGAAAGGTAGCAGGTTGAAGAGGGACCAGTCATCAAGCTCCAACGTATTGCCTAGTAGGCAATGGTAGGCAAGCACCGCGTTATTTATGTTCATACTAAAAAATTGATGCCTAATATACAAATATTCATTAGACATAAATTTTAGAATTCAATGAACATTTTTTTAATTAAAAATTATTCGTAACAGCAACAACAATTTTTATGGTTTCATCTAATAAAATGAGCGGCACAAGTTATCATTGTTAATTCTGCATGCAGTAGGCCTCTTCATCATCATCATTAAATCCACATAATCATTGTCATCACCATCACCATCATCCTCATCCCCATCCCCATCGTCATCATTATCATCCTCATCGTCGTCGTCATCATCATCATCATCGTCGTCATCATCATCATCCTCATCATCATCCTCATCATTCTTACAACGTCAGAACCGCCATTATTTTCAGTCAAGAGGAAAGGATTTCAGAGGATGATATAGTTCGAAGACACCCAGGCACCTGGAGACAGTTACAGATTGCAAATTGCTTTACCTCGGAGGAGAAAAAATAGCTCGAAAATGAATGAAATAAATGAACGAGTGAATGGTTGCCGTTTAAAACCTTGTTCGAAATAGGCTACAGTTATTTTTTTTAATTTCGTCGTTCAAATTAAATAATACTTTAATTAAGATTTTAAAGAAATTAATTACTTTATTAAATAATTAATTAATTAGTTAAACGTTTTTTGATTTAATTATATATATAGTTATATACATATGTATGTGCATGTTTTATGTGTGGTGTATATTATAGACTTTCATTCCCTTGCATTGAATTTTAAATTTAAAGAAATGAATTTTTATTTTTTAGAAAAAAGCAAGATAAACTACAAATTTAAAAAACAGACCTCCGCCCATTTAAAAAAAACAACCTAACATTCCAAATTATATAAAGTACTAATATATTTAAATGATGGCTGTGATGACGACAGGAATGATGTGGTGATGATAATGATAATGGCGATGATGATGATGATGATTATTGTATTGATGATGATGATGATAATGGCATTGATGATGATGATGATAGTGAAGACGATAGTGGTGATGATGACGATGAGGATGATAGTGATGATGATGACGACGATGATGATAGTGAAGACGATAGTTGTGATGATGACGATGAAGATGATAGTTGTGATGATGACGACGAAGATGACAATGGTGATGATGACGATGAAGATGATAGTTGTGATGATGACGACGAAGATGACAATGGTGATGATGACAATGATGATTACATTACAAACCTAAAACGTAGTATTACAGACTTGAGAGCTTAATGCTTGAAGTAAAAACAGCAGCTAGATAGAAAAAGAGAGCGTAACAATGTTTCGAGGGTTTTAAATAATTAAAGAGGCTATATGTCATAGATTTGCTCATTAATTTGCTAGCGGGGCTGTCAGTGGAGCAAGCCAGTCTTGATGATGATGTTAGAGCTGGGAGTGATGATAACGATGACGATGATGATGGTAATGATGATGTTTGTAGTGGTGATGATAATGATGATAAGAACGATGATAATGATGATGGTTATGACGATGATGATGATGATGGTGATGAGGATGGTGATGATGCAGATGATGGTGATGATTATGAAGAAGATAATGGTGATGATGACGGTTATGACGATGATGATGGTTATGACGATGACGACGATGGTTACGACGAATATGATGGTAATGTGAAGAATGAGATGCTGATTCTTATGATGATTATGTTTGTGTGTGATTATTTATCCTTTAGTAACACAGTGATAGGAAGGATGATGACGATGATGATAGTGATGATGAAGATGATTAGAAGGGTGACGATGGTGACGATAGTATGGTAACCCAATGATGATAGTGCAATGATAGAAGTGCTATCTGTAATGATACAAATGATGGAGAAATTGTTAATGATATAGATAATGATATAGATAATGATGACGATGATGGTTGGAAAGAAGATGATTGTGAGATATGATCGTGTGCTGATTGATAACATGGGATTAATTTGATGAACGTCTTCTAGTGTAACACGTACAACTATTATATTTTATTGGCGTACATGAAATTTTTTTTTTAGAAAATTTTCTCCGCATCCTAAGCTAGGAAACGTGCAAATGAATTACAGTAAGTCGATACCTCGAAAACCTCACAAAACATCTCCACAAAAACATAAATAAAATCTGTAAAAAGATTTTTTTTAAATTGAAATTACTTTTTCAAATGAAATTTATCAACAGGCAGTTTCAGAATCGCTATGTTTAGTTGGTCCATAACAAAATTGAGTTTTTTTAGCAAAAGTACACACAAGTTGACGACGAGTATTGATTTATCGAGTGGAATGAGTTATAAGCGTGTTTGTGAGCCATGCAGCAACTCAGATCGGACCGGTGAATCTCGAAGGAGATATATGTCGGTGCAGTTAGAGGCACGCTTCTCGTTATGATTGACGGATTATTCATTAAAGGAGATTATCCGATAGTTCTTTTATTGCCAGCTCACATTACATGCTGTGCTGTCACTTGCTCTGAAACTTACAAATTCAAACGCTCATTATTTCGATAGGGTTGTTTGTCTTTTTTTCTATTTATGTATACACTAACTGGGGAAAAGTTTTTTTTAGAATATGATTACCAGTTTGCGCGGTGTTTAAAATCATTGCGTAGTTACCACTGGCGTTTGGTAATCTGCAATTTCGTGTTGAACTACATGCAAACAATGAAAAAGATAAAAAACTCACATATTTTATAAAAATAATTTTCAGAATGGTAACTCAAGAATGTCAACATTGTCAAAATGGACAATAGTAAAATTATTAACCACTATAGCAAAATCAACGCGAACAAATGTTACTCTACAAAAAATAGCCCAACATAAGAAAACATACTGAAACAACACCAACAACAACACCACCAACAATAACAACAACAGCAACAACGACAAAAACAAAACAACAGCAAGAAGAACATGATTAACGAAAGTGAATTGGAACCTTTAAAGATGAGCTGATCGACGTGCTGAGTTATTTTTTCCACCTCGCTGTTGCCTGATGCGTTTATCTAAAATTTTACTTTTCAGGTCGTCATCCTCGAAATTTTGAAAACGCGTTGTTCATACATTTTAAAAGTTTAAAGCTGTACATTTTTTTAAAATAATTATTTCGGTTTCTATCGAACTGTTCAACAAACGCCAAGCCGTTTACAAACCGATCCTTACATTGTTAAGGTTAAACTGAAATATCCTCACCACACTCAACACTCAACACACTCAAAAGAAGCAAATATACGCACAATAAAAAACGCATCAAACACACATAGCTACTGTACACAGACAACATACAATCACACACATATACAAATCTCACAAATCACACACATACACAAATCACACACATACACAAACCACACACTCATACACAGATCACACACATACACAAATCATACACACGCACAAATCACACAAATACACAAATCACACACATACACAAACTACACACACACATACACAGATCACAAACATATACAAATCACACACATACACAAATCACACACATACACAAATCACACACATACACAAATCACACACACGCACAAATTACACACACACACACACACACATGTTATGCACGCACATACCTGAACGAGAAGAGCAATGATGACGACACCGTTTGTAGATGAAAGCGCCTGACTCAAGTTGCCATAGAGATCCGAATTGTAGCCAACCAGTTGGATCTAATGTTTAAATCGGCAGGTTGTTTTGAGTATTTGATTTGGATTGATTGTTTGATTAATTAATGGCAAAAATTAATTCTGATTTGGACTGGATAATAAAGACGTTCAATATTGATTGGGTTATCTCATTTGTGTTATTAAATGATTTGATGGATGATTTTGTAAAATATTAATGATTAAATTGTTTGCAAGTTTAGTAGCTCAAGCGTTTTATCAAATGTTTGACATGATTTTTATAGCTAGTAAAACAAGTTCCTTCCATTTTTACAAAATGTATGTTAATCATAATTTATCAAGTAATTATTATTTTCAAGCGGGTATTATTAAATGGTTGAAATGGAGCATGTGACAGTCAGTTTATCCAAAGATGAGCATTTTTGGTAAGTTGAAAAATTTTGAAGAACATTCTTAAACGCAATCAACCAAACCCACCGACTGGAATAAAATACATCTTCACATTTAATCAACGTGATCAGAAGAAAATTTTTTCTTCAAGGACAACGACGACGACGATTGTGATGTTGTCGATGATGATGTTGATGTTGGAAAGGATGATGATGCTGCTGTTGATGATGGTAGTGATGATGGTGATGTTGTTGATAATGATGATGTTGTTGTTGATAATGATGATGTTGTTGTTGATGATGATGTTTGAAGTGAAAGATATAGAAAAGATGAAGATTGAACATTGGTGTTGACGATCGCAACGTCCACATACACCAGGGGGGGATTTTTTAATTTCTAATGTGTGGATTTGTGTGGCGTGTGGCCGGCGACCTTTTTCATGGTCACATTGTCCGGCGGACGATCTTTTTTTGTTATAATGTCAATCTTTCATATTTTTCATTTATTCGTCAAACGTCACATAAAATGGCTTAGTGGGCCGTGTGCCCCTCTCGGGCCGTAGTTTTCCCACCCCTGCATGCACCCCACGGGCCCGAAGTTTGCCCACCATGTAGTAGATAACAAATAACTATCTTGTTTTCAAAGGTGAAACAGCAAAAGTTGGTGCTTTTTACAGCATACTCTTTTACTTGCTGTCACATGCCGTTGATATCATTATCCTTCTATTTTATTTGCTTCATTATTGGAATAATTTTTTCAGGAGCAAGGTCATCATTTTTAGGAATTACAAAATTTTTTGAGATTATTTAAAAAAATTTATTTTAAGAGTTACGAAGAGACGTTTGATTTTCTGGAGTCATAATGGTAACGCGACATGAGCGTAACTTGTAAGAGTGGCAAATGCAGCAGCAAAAATATCAAATGAACTTATCATCATCTATACTAACAACACCCACACAACAGCAATTCACAACGACGCATTAGGAACAATTTCAAGATTTCTCAAAAATATCAATTATTCCTAATCAACACGCACAAACTCCATAACAACAAGCAACAGCAACAACAAGCAACAACTACAATAACAACGTTTAATAAACAACTGCGACAAAGTCAACAACATCACTCTACAAATTAATAATAACAAACAAACAACTAATCGAATACCTTAAGAAGAACAAACTTAACCAACAACAACAACAACAACAGTAACGGCAACAACAGCAACGACAACAACAGTAACAGTAACAACAACAGCAGTGGCAACAACAACAACAAAGCAACACCGAGCTCTGTCTACTTGAAATTATTTTGGCTGACAAAACAGCGGAACGAACAAAGTGACGTTTTTGTCGTCCCATCCGTCTTAGCTCTTCCTCCTCCGTCGATGCCGGAAAATCTTTTTCTTATTTAGTGTTTTTGTCTTTATTTTATTTTCGTATTTACTCATCGTTCATTTCACGTTTGAATTTTTTTAGTTCTCTAACTTTTTATTGAGTAATGGACCTTTTCCTTTATAAACGACACAACGTGAATGAATTTATGTATGTATGTATGTAAGCACACAAACATTCATAAGTATGAATGAATGTATGTATGTACGTATGCAGGTGTAGGTATGTACATATGTATGTATGTATATATGAATATGCGTATGTACATATGTGAAAATGTATGTGTATTTACATACGTACGAATGCTGGCGTATGCAAGTATGTATGTGTGAATGTATATAGGCTTAAGTATTTGCATTATGAAGAGTAGTTGGTTCAGTGCTGTGTGGTTGCCCTGTTAGTGTTGAGCGCACAGCATTTCAAATAGATTCATCATCTTCTTTAAAGACATTTTTCTTCTTGACCGATTGATTAGCCGGAGTTTCGTTATTTTAAATTATCTTCCATCCGTCATTTTATTTATAACTAATCGACCGAACCTTCCAATGAAAATTTTATTTAAAGTTGGTTGGATTCTTCTACTGCCAGTTTAATATACCAATATACGCATTTGTTAGGTATATGTACCTATAAATACTGGATACTCATGAAACGCATTGAAAATTTATGACTGGATTTTGCAGATCAAAATAATATTACAAATATTATTGCAAAATTATTTGTATATGTGTTTCGCAAACTTTTACTCAGATGACAACATAAAGCCATGTACGGCGAAAAATCTCACTGATTACAATACGATATAACATCAAGTCGGTTACATAGCACGTAACATTACAAGTAACATGATATTACATGCAACACACATCTCATGTTATATAAATGACCTATTAATATATATATATGTGATATGTTATATGAATGTTATGTAAATAACATATAAATATATATATATATAAATATATATATATATATATATATATATATATATATATATAACACATATAACACCACATGTAAATGTAACCTAACTTAGCATTATGACACCAAACCAAATCATACATACATAGATGTGACATCCCCTTACATCTTGCCAGCATCTCAACATTGGAATGTCTGCGTCGTAATGTCGAGATTTAGTTCCATAATTGTGAATTGCATGACGCGCTCCAACGGACAAACTATTCATCTGGTTCATATCTCTTTCTCTCTCTCTCTCTCTCTCTTTCTCTCTCTCTCTCTCTCTCTCTCTTCATTACCAGCACCACCCCACCATCATTACCACTATCATATTCATCATCACCAACAACACTCTTTTCCTCATCATTATCATCTGCATTTATCATCATCGTCATCATCATCATCATTCTCTTTCCATCCTCTTACGCTTCTGTCTTCTTACACACACGTGTGTGTGTGGGTTTATATGTGGAAAGTTAGCAAGTGATTGTGCATGTGTATGTGTGTGTGTGCTTGCTTGTCTTGGTGCTGTATGCATGTGTGAAGTGTATGTATGTAGTGTGCGTGTGTATGGTAGTGTGCGTGAATGAGTGTTCTTAGTTGTGTATAAGTGTGTGTGCATCTAGCTCATAACATGAACTGGAAACCGTTGACGATGACTGATTTGTGAAATTTCAATTCAATCGTTGAGTAGTTTGAGAGTGATTTTTTTGAACAGCAATAAACATTAATCTAAGAATGCACACAGTTGAATAACTATCGCTAAAAGATGATAAATTTTTATTTTGGACATGTTCGTCGTCGTTCAAATCAAGTTTCATGCTGCTGCTTAAGTGGTCGCTTGCTGGTTGGTTGCTGGCTGGTTGGTTGCTGGTTGGTTGCTGGTTGGTTGGTTGCTGGTTGTTTGACTGTTTGATTGCTGGAAAAATCAACTATATAAAAAAATCACTTTGTTAGATTTTTGCATGACTTTTTCTTCCCATTAAAGGTTCATTTATTTATTTGAATCGCAGTTATTGATGATGCGACACCAGTAAAAAGGTTCATACAGTTGCAGTTCAAGAAAAACTATCCAAAGAAGACAAGAAAGGCTCTGGATTGGTGACGATTCAGTACACGCTCGTACGCAAAGAGTATAAAATTTCGTGCGTTTGTCCTGTCATGAATGCATGCATACTGCTTATTCGTATTGTACAGGAATTAATAATTTATTTTAATTACAATTCCGTGAAAAATTAACTTCTTTGAAATAAACTGATAGCCAGAGTTGGAATTAAGTACATTTGCGACGCTCTTCAATTGCAGCGTTCACATCAACTGTAAGACAATCACAAACGTCGAACAGATATTTAAATTCAGACTTACTCTTTCGTCAGGTGCACATGCAATAGTAATACACACGCACGCTATTACACACAAATAAACATTCACACGCATAGGTTGGCTAACCAATCCATCTACACAAAATGCCAAAAGGTCAGAAAAATAGAAAGTTAGTGTTGCAACAACGTAATAGTACAAGGCCGGTTCAGAATTTTTTTTTATCAACTCTCTCTTTTTCTCTCTTCTTTTTTCTCTCTCTCTTTCTCTATCCACCTCTCTCTCTCTTCCTGGACATATTGACGACGAAGAGTATTCTGTCGTTAAGACATCATTTGCAGTTACGATTGTTTTTGAAACTAGAGCTTGATTAAAAAATGATAATTAGCGAATGATTGGAGAAGGTAGGTAGGTAGCTACAGCAGCTGTGCATCGAGGATGAGATGTTCTTGAAAATAATGGTGCAGTGCGTATTAGTTCATAATAAGCTTTTTAAATATTCCGCTCGTGTCTCAATGCATGACATTAAGATTCATATTTGTACGTGTGTGTGTCTGTTCTTCTGTTCACGTGTGTTTGTGTGCGTGTCCGTGTTTGCGTGTGTTTGTGCGTGTGTGTGTATGTTCATGTTTGTGTTTGAGTGCGTGTCTTTTAATCTGCGCTTTTGTATTTTTCTAATTGTTATGATGGTATCTATCAAATGTTGTATAGTTTGTTGTTTGTAAGCAATGAATGTATCTGGCGTCAACTGTAATGTGCGGTTACAATGTCGCTTATGTAATTTTTCAAATTGTAAACCAACTCTCATTTTTCCTATTTAAATATTATTCATTAAAAATATTTTTACGGCGTTGTTTAAAAAATGAAAATTTGATTTTTATGTTGTTTAGTGTATGTACGTGTAACTCAGTCAGTCAGTCAGTCAGTCAGTCAGTCAGTCAGTCAGTCAGTCAGTCAGTCAGTCAGTCAGTCAGTCAGTCAGTCAGTCAGTCAGTCAGTCAGTCAGTCAGTCAGTCAGTCAGTCAGTCAGTCAGTCAGTCAGTCAGTCAGTCAGTCAGTCAGTCAGTCAGTCAGTCAGTCAGTCAGTCAGTCAGTCAGTCAGTCAGTCAGTCAGTCAGTCAGTCAGTCAGTCAGTCAGTCAGTCAGTCAGTCAGTCAGTCAGTCAGTCAGTCAGTCAGTCAGTCAGTCAGTCAGTCAGTCAGTCAGTCAGTCAGTCAATCAGTCAGTCAGTCAGTCAATCAATCAATCATTATTCAGTCAACCAATCATTGACCAAACAAACAGACGTGTTGCAACCAACCTCAGCTGGAAATGAAACATTTTGAATAGAATGTTCCGAGCCATCGCGATCATCCTTCCCAACGTGGAATATAACCTGGTGTCATCGGTTCAGCTCCAGTTAGTAAATTTATCAATCATTCATTGAAACAGAATTTTTATTACGTCTCGTCTTGCTCGGGTACAACTATATCTTTCATTTTCAGTGCTTGTCGTGTTGTTGTTGTTGCTTAGAATCATATGAACGGAATATGTTTGAAAAGTATATAAACGTATTTAACATATTTAGTAAAAACATTAGATCGTTGATGAGAAACACAACAAAAACACTAAGTACAAACTGGGAAAAAGACAAAATAAGATTAACATAGAAAGAGAGAGAGAGAGAGAGAGAGAGAGAGAGAGACATACTTCACTGATCCTGTACTGATAGGAGAGAGGTCCGCCAGATATGTTGACGTTGGTGATGTTCGGTGAATAAATCTTGGCCATCAAGTGGTGTCCGGTGTTTGTCATGGTCACTTTGATCTGCGATGCAATTCAAGCTTATTAAGTTTCTTGCTTAAATGTCATTCGTCGTCGTGTTACGTAACGTTTACACGGTCTGTAAATTTTTTTAAACACTTCGATCTCCATATATAAAAAAAGAGTTATTTGGGTCGTTTCATATTTTTTCTATTAAAATTTTTAAATTAAACTTCAACTTGTAATAATTGTTGTTTCTTTTTGATATTTTTGGAAATGTTGGAAATATTGGTGTGTGTGTAGGTAGAGTAGCATCAATAATTTTTAATAAACAAGCACTTTAATTCAACAAATTTTGAAATGAAATTGATTTTAATTCACAACGTGAAAACCAAATATTTGGGATAATATATTAACATTCACTGAGTGTACCATAATTATTCGAAATTATTTTTAAAACCGTCAAAACAAGTAAGAATAAGCACACACAAACAAAGCACAAAAAAGCATTTAAGCAGCAAATACATATACATCACGTTGAACAGCATTAAATTGCAGCACCACAAGAAGACTGCCCTTTAACCTCTCGAACGGAAGTGAAAACAGACAAACGTGCAGCAGCACTAGACAGTTTCATAAATAACCGCGCATTCCGCCTAATTCTTACTCCAGATTTATTGCAAGCGCGCATGTCACTGTTACAACTTCCGTTATCTCCTGTGGCACTCCATCTTGCACATGTGCCGAGGAAGCGGAAGCAGCAAATGCTCCCAGCCGGAATGGGGACATATTTAAGATGATCATTAAAAATTATTTTCGATATAAAAAAAGTAGGCAGTTGAAAATTTCAAACTGATGAGGAGAAAAAACTAATGTTGTGAATGAGGTTTTAAATACGACAGAAAGTTGAGATAGAAAAAATGCAAAGTCTGCATACATCACTGAAGAATTAGTTGTAGTTGAAAAGGATGAAGAGAAAGACCGGATGATTATAATCTTATAATTGCTATTCGTGTTTCTGGTTCATCGGATCTCATTGTTTCGTGTGTGATTGTGTCTCTTGAGTTGTGTTTGTTTTTGTGCGGTTGAACTTGTTGCTTGTGTTGCTCTGCTATTTCTTATGTTTTCACTTGTTGAATGAAATTTTCAATCAACAAAAAATTTAAGACGATATGAAATTAGCGACATTAAAAGCAAAACTTAAATATATTGTATTACACTAGACAAGTGTGTGTGTGTTTCTGTGTGTTTGTGTGTATATGTACCAAACAAATAACATTTGATAATTAATTGAGCTTAAGTATGTAAGCATGTTCGTCCACATAGCAGAACCGGCCAAGCATTTAATGTCAGTCACATGTGTGCCGCACATGAACATTTATTGTATATTTAGGATGGTTAAGCGCTACACGAATAGCATAGATATGAAACGCATCCCTAATGACGTTTCAAGATGGTGTGTAATGATTTGTTCGAGAGCCTTCCGATGGATTAATTAGATTTTTATATTTGGCGTGCTCATGT